GCTATCGATTCCACATAAATTATGTTGTGACGACTCACAACCTCCAGTCCCCACGCAGACTCTCCACTGAGCTCGAGTCTCACACATCCGTCTGCCTATTGGGTGTCTCTCCCTGATGACTGTGACCCGTCACACCCTACCAGGTCCAAAGCAAGACTCCTGGCTCCCTGCGCCAGCCCTCAAAACACCCGCTCCCCCCAACTTGCCCATCTCAAAAAACCACTTGGCCAGCACTCAGATGCTAAAGCCAACGTCCCAGGAGTCACCCCTGACCTATCCGAACCATACCCCCGGCCACCCTTCCATCGCCCACATCTCCCCCCCCCCCAACACCTGCCAGGTCAGGGCTACCCGCTTCCACTCCAGTCCTCCACAGTCCATGCTCCCTAGAGCACCGGGAGAGAGTTTTCTCACGGGTCATTTGGGTCGCACCACTCACCTATTTAAAAAAAAAAACAACAACAACAGTGTCCCATCACACTTATCATCCACTTTGAATTTCTTTGTCGGGCCGGGCCCCACAAGGAAGGCCCTGAGAAACCTGGTCCCACCTGCCTCTCCATCACCTCTGGTCTCCCAGCCACACCACCTTCCTCGGAGCCGAGAACTGCTCTCTGCCTCAGGGCTTTTGCACGTGCCATTGCCTTTTCCTAAGCCCCTCCCCCTTCCCGGCTTCCTGGGGCTGACTCATTCAGGCCGCGGCTCTCCCCGGCCACCTTCTCAGTGAAACCTCTCCTGACCGCCCGGTTTCATTTTCTTCATCGCACTTACTCCACCACAGCCTCGTTCTGCCGGTTTGTTTACTTTGTGTACTGTCTGCCTCGGTCACCGCTGTCCCCTCTGGGCCCTGAGTGGGCCCCTGGCATACACATGGTGCTCAGTGAGTGTCAGTGGAATGAATACCAGGAAATGACTGTGATTTTTTTCCAGCCACTCCGCTGGGAGAAGCTATAAAAGCGGGAGGTGGAGTGGCGTGGACAGAGGTGCCTGTCTCTAGCACAGGCACCAATGCCCCTGGAGGCTGGCCCTGGCACCTGGAGCCAGGAAGTGCCAGCGAGTGGGACCGAGTATCACACAACAGAGAACCACCCAACAGAAAGGAGAGCCACGTGGACGGTGTGTTACGCCCCTGCTGCCTCGTGCTGAAGGGCACAGCCGATCCCACCCGCGAACAGCGGAGGGACCGGCGCCCTCAGCCCCTCCCGGGCCCCGGGGCCTGTGGGTGCACGGACAACACCCTCCAGGGGGTGGCTTGGCTGGCCTGGCACCTGCTGCCTGCTCTTCAAGCAACTGGACCCATCTCTTCCTTTTGGGGGCAAGCTCTACCCCACTCTCGGGGCCCACGGTCCAGGTTGAGCTAACGCCCCTCTCAGGGGTGGGGCCACAGGCTCAAAGCTGGCCACTGGTGTGCTAGCTCCCTGGGCACGTGGCTGCCAGTCTAAGTTCTGGCACCAGTTCGCCCGCTCCAGAACCAACATATTCTAAATGGTCATGCTGGAGGACTGTGTTGAGATTCCCAAAATGCTCTGTGGATAATAATATTCCTCAGGCCTCAGGTCTAACTTGCAGATGGAGAGGTAGACATTATTACCCCCATTCCTGAGGGGAACCTGGCAATGCAGGCTGGGCCTTTTCAGTGACGTGAGCCAAACATCCCCTTTTCCCTTCAGCTGCCTGAGCGCCCGGCTGTCACCCCCACCCTCTCCCCTAGGGCGGAAGGGATCATCCTCCGCTGTCTTCCAACTCTGGCTCCTAGTCCCGTTCCCGAGCCCACCCTGCTCTCTCAGAACTCCCCATCCCCACGGCCCAGAATCCCCTTCTCCAGCTCATCCTCCTGAAAAACGCTATGCGCCCCACCTGGGTGCAGGTACCTTCTGGCTCCGCACCAGAGGCCCCCTGTCTCCTCCCACCACTCCCGCAGGCTTCTCCGGGAACCTTCTCCCGGGGCCCGCCCGCCTGGAAGATTTCGTCAGGCTTCAGTTGCCATCATCATATTACAAAAACAGGGATTTTTTTTTTCACTCTTCAAGTACAAAATGATGTTTGAACAGTTCATGTAAATTTCCAATCAATGCCTCCGTCTCCCCCAGAGGTTCTGAATAACCCGCCCCCTCCCCTCCCGGGGAGCTGTCTGCTCTGCTCGATTGAAAGGCTGCAGCGAGACGTCCCTCATTGATCCGGCAAACACCTCGGAGGCGGGCACGGTGCCAAGCGCCGGGCACACGCACCATGAAAGCGTGTGGCGATCGCCCCTGTGTCTGTGAGCCGGGAGGACGGGGGGGGGGGGGGGGGGGGGGGCCGGCGGGGCGAGCCTGCCCGGGGGGTCTCACCGACACGGAAGCTGGCCTCGGAGGAGGGCTTCCCTGCGGACTTGCTATCGTTTTAAAGCGGGAGGCCACGGGCCATTTGACTTCCCTGGTATTTTCATAACATTTCCTAGTGGCTCATCGGGGCATCTGTTTCCCTACCAGACGGAGAACCCTCGGGGGCGAGGCCGGGGGTGAGTCACCGGGGCCCGGCACTCGGGAGGCCGGGAGGTGTCTGTGATGTGGTCACGGGACAGGTGAGTGGCGGGGAACATGGGATTGTGGGAGAGGCAGGGAGACAGCCAGGGCAGGGGAGCCGGTCCTCGCCGCAGCCGGGCCCGGCGCGGTCCGGCAGACCAGACCAGGGGACAGAACACATATGTGTCTGTCGTGGAAGGAGGTCACGGCCAGCAGAACTCCCAGAAAACAGACTGGGCCCAGCTTTGCAGGAGCAGAAGACGGACAGGGGAGAGGGGAGCTGAGGGAAGCCCGGGTGGGAGGAGCGAGAGGAAAGCAGCATGGGGTTCAGAGGGCCTTGAGAATCAGGCCTGGGGGCGGTGGCAGGGGGCGGGTCAGCCCCCTGCAGGGTCCACAGGACGCCTGGGGACGTGGCTCTAGGGGTGCATCCACGTCAAGGGTGTCTGCACGAGGCTGCCCTGCCTTCCTCCTCCCTGTCATCTCTGATCCTTACAGACTGGGACACCGCCCTGTGGTCAGAAGGAGAGGCCCCGGCTTGAGAGACAGGAGAGCAATGCAGCCGGACGGGGAGGACGTCACTGGAAACTTCCCGGAGATGTGCTGCCCCCTTCCCCCCACCTGGGGCTTGAAGGAGGCTGAGGAGGGGAAGGGGGGAAGCTGCTTCCCGGGGGAAGGACAAGAGCAAGGACACCGAGATCCAAGACCTCGTGCAGAGCCCGAGCCTCCGTGTGTGCTCTGAGGAGACGGACCGCCAGCTGCTGGGGAGTCTGGGGGCCGGCGGGGGGCGGGGGGAGTGGGAGTGCGAGACACAAGTCCCGTGAAGGACAGCGAAGAGCAGCCGCCCCAGAGCCTGGACCCAGGACCGTTCTGCGGGTCATGCTCTAGGTGCGGCCTCGGGCAGGCTCCTCGCTCTCCCCTCAGAGCCTCGGCCAAGGTGGTCGTGTTAGCATAAGGTGACCGCTTTTGGCGGGACAGTCCGATTTTTAACATTGGTCCCATTAGCATAAGGTGACCAGACGTCCCGCGTCCCACGACATTCTAAAACACCGCAGCACGCGGGACACATTGTTAAAAAGCGGGACGTCTGGTCACCTTACATTAGCACCTAGTCAGCACCCACCAGGCCGTGGTGACAGTTACCATGGCGAGCCCAGCACGGGGAGCTACGGCTGGGAGAGCCGTCAGGAGCCGCGGACACGGGTGGCTCTGTGGGTTCCTGGGGAACCAGGCCCAGCGGCAGGAAGCTCTGAGGAGGCGACGCCAGCTCAGGGTGAAGGACAGACTCAGCAGGGATGCTGGTCAGGAGTGGAGAGGCCCGTGGGGGGCAGAACCCTGCCCAGGGAACGGCCTTGTGGGCACTGGACAGTGCCCTGGCCTAGCAGCACCAGCCAGGGTCCCGTGAAGGGGGGGGTGGGGGGGGGGAGAACGACCTTCACAGAGCAGTCGCCGTGGGAAGCCGGGGCTAAGGGAGGCCCTGCTGTAGACTTCTCAGGCCCCCACCAGCTTGGAGCATGGACCGGGGACGCAAATGCCCCCAGACACCAGGCATTGGCCCGGGAGGGCGATGTGCCCGTGTGGTCGGAGAGAGCCGGCCCAGCGGGAGGGGCCACAGTTACGGCTGAATTGTTGAAAAAGACATGTTGGAAGCCCTAACCCGTGGCGCCTTGAAAACAGGGTCTGTGCAGAGGTAGTCACGTTAAAATGAGGTCACCGGGATTGTCCCTCTTCTAATGGCTGGTGTCCTTATAGGACAGGGGTATTTGGATACAAAGGCAGACACCCACAGAGAGAAGATGGTGGAGGGAGAGGTTGGAGCAGCCCATTTACAAGTCAGCAAGGATTTCTGCACGGCCCCTCCCTCTCCGCGCCCACCCCCCCACCCCCACCCCAGCCATTCTCCCCAGAGCCTCCAGGGAGACACCATGACCTGGGGCTCCTGGTCTGAAACAATACTCTCTGCTGTTTGAAGCCACCGGTCTGTGGAACTTTCCCACGGTAATCCCAGGACAGCAACACGGCCCACAGATCCAAGCAGGGTTTGTCCGGAAGGCTCCAGAGCGGTGAGAGAGGATGCAGGGCTCCCTAGCTCAGCGATCACAAGCCCCCCTTTATGAAGGAGCGATCCCTTCACCAGCCGAGCTGGGATCCCGTGCGAGGCCCTAATGCTGACCCTCACTCAGCCTTTGGATTTGCACCCACACGTCCGTGGGTTCCTCCTGGCCCCCTCCGCTGTAAGGTGAGGGTAACGGGCCAGCCTCCCAGGTGGCTGTGACCCCCAGCAAGATGCGTAGGAAGTGCTTAGCCGGGCCTTCCCTCCTGCGGAGGGCGTGCCCTCTCTGAGCCCCCCTGGCCCCCTGAAGGACGGGCAGCATCTGCCAGGGCCCCTAGGGTTGCTGGGAGCTGCCTGGCATGTGGCTGCTGGTGGGAATGAGCCACGAGGCCCACGAGGCCCCTGCGGGTCCTCCACAGGAGGCCTGGGCTCCGGGGCGCCCTTACCTGTGCTGTGAGCTGGATGGGCTGGGACAAGGTGAGCTGTGGGGTTCCAGGGGGCTGGCTGGCAGGCTGTGGTGGTGGCAGGTCGCCTCCCCCAGAGGAGGCTGGGGGCTGCGAGGTCGAGGAGGAGGCAGAGGAGGAGGAGGAGGAGGAGGAAGAGGAGGTGGAGGAGGCGGCGGCGGCGGCAGCAGCAGCAGCATTGGACTGTTGCACGGCGGCGGCCAGGAGCTGGGCCTGCGCTTGCTGCAGGAGGAGCTGCTGCTGAGCGGGCATCAGCGCCGTGAGCTGTGGGGCGGCAGGGCAGCGGGGGCACAGGGGGCCACAGGGAGGAGCAGAGAAGGCAGAGAGAGAGGGGTTAGTACCCGAGCCAAACAGCTGAGGGAGCAAATCTTCCAGGAGGCAGAGCAGGGCGCGAGGCGGGCGGCAGAGAGCGGCCGTGGTCCTGGAGGGACACCACCCGGGCCACGGTCCCAGGTCAGGTGGCGGCGACTGGCCTGTGCCCCCGGCCCGTCCTCCCCGAACACTCACCCCGGCGAGCTGGCTGCCCGTCAGCATGAGCTGGGCCTGGGGCAGATGCGGCTGAGCCGGCTGGGGGGGCGGGGGTGCTGCTGGGGCTGAGTCGCCGCTGGGGTCTTCAGCCTTGATCTGGGGGGGAGAGAGGCAGGGTCCGGGACCCCAGAATGTTAAGTGGAGGCCAGAGAGAATGCCCACCTGCGAACCAAAGAGAGGGCACGAGTGTGGCAACAGCAGCCTCCAGCTGGCACAGGAGGGACGGACAGGGGTGAGGAGGCCAGACCCTGCCTGAGCCCGCCCCCCCTCGGGTCTGTTTCCTCACCAGTCACATGGGCTACCACACTCCCTACACCTACACGCCCCACAGGGAGGGCCACCTATTTTTAAAAAAAAAAATATATTTTATTGATTTTACACAGAGAGGAAGAGAGAGGGATAGAGAGTTAGAAACGTCGATGAGAGAGAAACATCGACCAGCTGCTTCTTGCACACACACACACACACACCCCCCACTGGGATGTGCTCACAACCAAGGTACGTGCCCTTGACTGGAATCGAACCTGGGACCTTTCAGTCCGCAGGCTGATGCTCTAGCCACTGAGCCAAACCGGTTTCAGCTAGGAGGGCCATCTTTGAGGGCACGTCTTCCCTGTTGGGAGCCAGTTTCCCTGTTTGTAAAGTGAGAAGTGAGGTGGGATCTCCGATAAGGGGGTCTGGGTCCCACTGCCCTCATCTGTTCAGACAGAGGTGCATCTCGTATTCGTCCAGTGAGTAAGATTTTATTGGAAGAAAGGCCGAAGGGTAGGGAAAAAAACAACCCCCCCACGGCTTTAGAACATGGGTCACAAATTCAAAAGTAGACAGCACAAACGGGTGAGATGTGCAGAGACTGCCTGCCCGTCGACCCACAGGGCAGGTCTGCCCACCTGCTACTCTGCTCCTGCCAGCAGCAGATTTTAAAACCTAAAGCCGGTTTGGCTCCGTGGACAGAGTGTCGGGCTATGGACTGAAGGGTCCCGGGTTCGATTCCGATAAAGGGCACGTGCCCAGGTTGCAGGCCTGATACCTAGTAGGGGGTGTGCAGGAGGCAGCCAAGCAATGATTGTCTCTCACGATTGAGGTTTCTGTCTCTCTCTCTCTGCCTCTCCCTTCCTCTCTAAAATCAATAAAAATATATTTTTAAAAAAATAATAAAATCTAAAGCAAGAACGCTGCCGGACAAGGAAAACACACCTGCAGCCCGAGGTGGCCCAGGCGCTGCCAGCTGGCAGCCTGCACTCCCGGGCCCCTCCGCTCCTCCTCAGTTCTCTGCAGGATGTGGAGGCGTCTCGCACCAAAAACATAGGGCAGCCCTGGCCGGTAGCTCAGTGGTTAGAGCGTCGGCCTGCTCACCGAAGGGTCTCGGGTTTGATTCCCAGTCAAGGGCATGTACCTGGGTTGCAGGTTCGATTCCCAGCCCCAGATGGGGAGCCTGAGGGAGGCAACCAATTGATGTGTCTCTCTAACACATGTTTCTCCTCCCCCCACCCCGCCCGGCTCCTTCCACTCTCTATAATAATAATGGAAAATGTGTCCTCGGGTGAGGATGAACAACAACACAACGCGCATAGGGCAGACCAGCACAACACGGCCCTGGCCTCCTTCCTCTCCTACACAGACAGCCGGGCGTCGGTGGGCTCGCCTGGGGTGGGGGTGGGGACAGTCTGTTGGTAACGGACACACCGGGGCGGGAGGGGGCATGGCTGGAGGAATCACACACACTCAGGCCCAGCGGGGACACCCGGAGCACCTGCCGCCCAGTGTCCCAGGAGGAAAGGTCCAATCCCTGGAAGTCTGGGCATGTTTGTGCCTTGCTTTGGTGATGCAAAGGTACACTGAGGATCATGTGTGTGTCATCTTTCAGCTAAAAATTAAAAAAAAAAAACTAGCCCAAACCAGTGTGGCTCAGTGGATAGAGCGTCGGTCTGCGGACTGAAAGGTCCCAGGTTCGATTCCAGTCAAGGGCATGTACCTTGGTTGCGGGCACATTCCCGGTAAGGGGTGTGCAGGAGGCAGCTGGTTGATGTTTATCTCTCATCAATGTTTCTAGCTCTCTATCCCTCTCCCTTCCTCTCTGTAAAAAATAAAAAAATAAAAAAGAACAAGAAAGCTGGAGTAAAAGTATATAATTAAAAAATAAAATAAAAACCCCTCCCAGCACTGATAGCCTTGGCGAGAACACTTGTCCTCCTCCAGAGCTCTGTCATGCCTCCCGGCTCTCCTAAGAAAGTCTCCGTCAGCTGCCAGTCTCCCAAAGCTGGCCCAGTCCCCTGCTACCGAGGGCAGGCCTCAGGCGTAGGCCCTCAGACGCAGGCAAGCGTCTCTGGGTACGGTTTAATAATCACTGCATTTATTTCCATGGCAAGTGATTTTGGTTTTCCATTCGTGAAATTTCCATTTGAACAAAAAAACACACACACATTTATTTCGGCTGTTGAAAGAGCAAGCCAGTTCCTGAGTCGGTGGTTGTCGAAGCTGACTGAGGGGTACCTGGGAGGCTGTTTTCATTGTGTTCTTCTTTCCACTTTTGTATCCGCTCCACGTCCCCCCAAATAAAACAGTTTTTAAAGAAAATGAGCCTGCCGAAACCGGTTTGGCTCAGTGGTAGAGCGTCGGTCTGTGGACTGAAAGGTTCCGGGTTCGATTCCGGTCAGGGGCATGTACCTTGGTTGAGGGCACATCCCTGGTGGGGAGTGTGCAGGAGGCAGCTGATTGATGTTTCTCTCTCATCGACGTTTCTGGCTCTGTATCTCTCTCCCTTCCTCTCTGTAAAAAATCAATAAAATATATATTTTTAAAAAAATGCAAAACAAAAACTGAGCCTATTAACGAAGGTCTGATGCACATTATTGTACCCGATGGGGGTGGATTTGTCTGAAACCGTGATGGGAGCATGTGAAGCCTGCAGTTAGGACAAGACCGACGAGAGAGATGGAGGGGGTGGGGAACAGAGGCCCAGGGCGGGGCAGCCCTGAGCTCTCCCCCGGACCAAGGCTCAGGCCTGGGAAGGGGAGCGAGGGCCCTTCCTCCCACCCACCCCCACCCCGCGCCCACCGGCTTCACCAGAGAAACCGGCTGCCTTGGGGCCAGGACAGGCTGCACAGACTCAGCTGAGGAAGGAGCGCGTGGGGGAGAGGCTGGCTCTGAAGGCCAAGGTCAGAGCCAAACCCGCGATCAGAGGGAGGGAGGTCCCGCTGGGCACCTGCCCACCGAGCATCCTCCGAGCACCTGGCTGTGGAGGGACTCGGAGGCCACCTCACTGACTGCCAGAGAGGGGAAGTGATTTTCCCAGGGTCACAGAGCAGCCCCCAGCCCCTCATCATCCTTCTGCCACCTTCGCCCGACTCAGGAGTCCTGCCCACGCCCCTGCCCGCTGGGCTGCCTTCAGGCCTCCGGACCTGCCAGCTGCCCCACCGGCTGGACGGTGGAGACCTGGGCCCCAGACACCCGGGAAGCCCAGCAGGGCCCCGACTGGATTTGGGATTTGCTCTGTTTGGCCATTTCCCGCCTCCCCACTGTCCTCTCCTACAGCATCTGCTCAGAGCCGCAGCCACCCTCACTGGGTCTGCCTCCCCCTGACCCCTCCACCCTCCAACACCCACCCCCTGAGTGTGTCTTGGGGGGCAGAGGGTGGGGTGAGGCAGGCCCCAGTTCAGTCAGGGAAGTTGGGATGGGGGCGGGCCCTCAGCTTCCTGTTGTTCATCGCCCTGGGGCTCTGGGGGGGATTTCCCTGGCCACCCCCACCCCCCAGGGAAGGGGAAGGAGCCGGGGTGAGTCACAGGCCTGGGGCAGGAGCCAGAGGGTGAGAAGGGGTGGGAGGAGCTTTGTCACCGAGGTACCAGGGCTAGGGCCCCCCTCAGCCCCGGGCCTGTGGGACACTTCCAAAGGCAACTGCCACCCAACACCCTGCACCCCCCTCCCCTTGAGCTGGCTGTTCTGGCAGGTGCTTACCTTGGTGGTGCCGGGGCCAGTTGGGGACACGGAGAACGGGGAGGTCTTATTCTGGGGGTTCTGAGAAGAGAAAGTTGGGGTGGGGATGGTTCCAGTGAGATAAAGCGGCTTCTGACACCTGTCTCCCCCCCCCCCCCCCCCGCACAGCCCCCTTATACCCCCCCCTCGCCTCCCCACCCCCGGCCAGTCCGAGCCCCCTGACCTGGTGGTTAGTGTCGGGTCCATTTCGTTCAGTGTCTGCAACGAGAGGGGGCGGGGAGGTGTCACCCGCTGCCCGGAGGCTCCCACCACCCGCCCTGCCCGCCCGCTGCTGCCCACACACCTGTGTGCTCTGGCGGGGAGTCCAGACCTTGCTTCTCGGCCTCCAGGGGCTTAGACATTCTTATTTCTGGGGACAGAGGAGGACGGAAGTGGGTGAGGAAGGGCGAGCTCGGCCCTTCCTCCAGCTCCACCGCAGCCGAGCCCCGAGCCCCGAGCCCCCTGACACCTGGCAAGTGTCTCTTTCCGAGAGACGTGCCTTCTGCTGGGAGGACAAGCGAGGGGCCTGAGGCCTTGCGGCTCCTGCCTGATCACTTCCACCCTCGGAAGGTGCACAGGGAGGGTGGCCCCAGGGGGCAGGGTGGGGTGTGGACAGTGGTTGGGGGTCCTGAGACGCCTCGGCGGGCGGCCCGGCTGCCGGGGGGGGGGCGGGGGGGGGCGGGGAGGTTGTGAGGCTCCAAAGGAGACGCCGCCCCAGCCCCAGGCCCCGGCCCCGTGCTGCCTGCCCAGGTTTCGGCTGAGGCGTGTTTTCCACTCTGCGCGGGGCCGGGGGATGTGACAGGCCGGCAGCATCCCCGAAGGAGCTCGTCTGAAGATCTCAGGGTGATTCAGCGCTGCCGGCCGCCCCGGCCTCCCCAGCCCACCACTTTCCCTCCGCACCTCACTGCCCCCCCCCCCCCGCCTCCTCCCTCCTCCCCTCTGCACTGAGGGGCAGCCCCGCTCCGACCTCAGTAACTCCAGCTCCTTCCCGCGCTGCCCCCCGACCTTGTCCTCAAGCCTAATCCTAGACCTCACCTGGGGTTTCAGTCTGGAATTCCAACTGCATCCCCAAACCCCAGCAAGACACCTGGCCCCTATGGTTCTGTGGACCCCGGAAACGAAGGGAAGTGGCACGGGGGACACAGTGCCATGGAGACCGGGCCGTCTGGGCGCTCCGATGCCGGCCAGGGGCAGCCGAGTGCTCACCGTGCCAAGCACCACACTCACGCCAGCCGTTGGTGCGGGTAGTGCCCGGCTCTCACAGGGAAGCGAAGGAGGCTCTGAGGGGGTGTCCCCTCCCCAAAAGCAGTGAGACAGGAGAGGCCAGACCCCAGCCTCCAGGACTCTAGGCTTCCTGCTTTTATTTATTTATTTAAATATATTTTATTGATTTTGTACAGAGAGGAAGGGAGAGAGATAGAGAGTTAGAAACATCGATGAGAGAGAGAGTTATCGATCAGCTGCCTCTTGCACACCCCCTACTGGGGATATGCCAGCAACCAAGGTACATGCCCTTGATCGGAATCGAACCCAGGACCTTTCAGTCCCCAAGCCGATGCTCTATCCATTGAGCCAAACCAGTTTCGGCTAGGCTTCCTGCTTTTAAAAAAGACGTTTTCACTGACTTCAGAGAGGAAGGGACAGGCGACAGAAACATCAACGATGAGCGAGACTCATTGATAAGCTCCCTCCTGCACGCCCCACGCTGGGGACCGAGCCTCTGGCCCGGGGGTATGGGCCCCGACCAGAAATTGAACCATGACTTGGTTCATGGGTTGATGCTCAACCACCGAGCCACGCCAGCCTGGCAGGGTTCCTGCTTTTAATCACGACCGCTGCAGGCGAATGACCCCCAGTCCTGACTTCCCTCCCCCTCACCTCACCTCCAACAGGCACCCCACCCAATCTCACCCTGACACCGACCCCAGACCAATCAATCCTTTCTGGTTCTAGACCACCCCCACCCCGACACACACACACACACGCACGCACTCACGCACACACGCACGCACGCACAAATCTGGGCTTCTGCCTGACCCGTTCTCCATCCCCTGGCCCACCCTGGACCCCAACTCCCATCCCAAGAGTCCATGCTCTTCGTTTGGACCCAATTCCCAGGTTGGCCTGAGGCCGCACTCGCGATGTTGACTCAGACCCAAATGCGCCTCCCACAGGTCACTCCGAACCCAGCCGCCCCCACCCGCCCGAGCAGAGGAGCTGTCCGCCTCTAGAAGGCCCGCGAAAGGGGGAGCTGGGACACCCCCAGCACCTGAGGAGATGACCCGGCACGAACGTCACTCGGGTTAAGAGTCCTGATTACAAAGCCAGGCCACACGCTGCCGGTGGGCGTGTGAATCAATACGAGCACAAGCCAGGGACGCGAGGAGGCGCCCCTCCCACAGCCCAGCGCGACCACTCCGGGCGTCCCGCCCACCGGTGCCCACGGGGGCACGTGTTCCCAGCAGCCCTTCCTCCAGGGAAGGCCCCGGACTGGGAATGACTCCGAGGGGATGGATCAGCCAACGGTGGTGTGTCCGTCTGCACAGGACACACGCCACGGCAGGGAAAAACTCCCGCCTCTCGGAGCGCCGGCCTCACAGGCCTGCCGCCGAGGGAAGGATGCCAGGCTCGAGAGCGCGCAGTAGGACTCCGCGTACGCGAAGCCCCGAAGGAGGCAAGGTCAGAGGGGGAGGGGGGTGCCTTTGGGGGATGCAGCCTGGAAAGGGCATGGGGAAGGCTGAAGGGGCTGGAAAAGCTCTGCATCGTTTCTGTTTGGGAGCTGACATGAGTTTGTACCCATGTGAGAGCTCTTCAGGCTGTACCCTGGGCCGTTTCCCGTAAGTATGCTATGTTTTCACACACACACACACACACATACACACACAAAATTCAAAGCCAAAAAAAAAAAGAAGAAGCAGCCAGCACATAGTCCTACTAAGGTTGGTGAGGGTGGGTGGGCAGCGGGTGCCCAGGACAGTATGGGAGCTCGGGCCCTGGGCACTGGGCACCGAGTGGCCAATGATTCTGAGACATAAGAGGGCACCAAGGGAGGAAGCTGTGGGGAGGCCCTGCTTCTCAGCCCTTGGCCCTGCTCCAGGCAACAGCTACCGCTAAGGCAGCCCTAACCTCACCCCTCCTCCATCCCTGACTCCTCTGCCCAGCCCTGTGCCCTCCTTCCAGCCGGTGCCCACAGTGCCCCAGAGAGAGCCTTCCCTCATCCGGCTCTTCCTGGCGCTGAGCCCTCCCCTGGCTCCCCATCTCTCCTTGGCCTGGCCGTGGGGTGTGGCCCTGCCACCCTCCACTGCCATCTCTAACCACTCATGCATCACGCCCTTCTACCACACCAGGCGCTCCTTCTGCTAGGGGCTTCTGCTTCTCGGGGTGTCCGGGCCTCGCAGGTTCTCTGCTCCCCACCTGGCTGGATGCCTCTCCCACCACAGACCAGGGCAGCCTCTGACCTCCCCTCCACCCCAGAGAGTCTGTGTACATCCTTGGCCTTTGCTACGGGCTATGTTGTGTCCCCCAACATTCACAGGTTGCAGCCCTCACCCCCGGACCACAGAGTGTGACTGTATGTGGAGATAGGGTCTCTGGATCAGGTGGACCCTGACCCCATATGACTAGTGGGATAGACACACACAAAGTGAAGACACAGGGAAAAGACGACCCTCCCACGCCAAGGACCCAGAAGGAACCAGCCTTGCTGACACCTTGACCTTGGACTTCCAAAATTTTCTTTAAAAAATATGTTTTTATTGATTTCAGAGAGAGGAAGAGAGGGATAGAAACATCAATGATAAGAATCACTGGTAGGCTGCCTCCTACACACCCCACACTGGGGATCAAGCCCTGACCAAGAATTGAACCGTGACCTCCTGGTTCCTGGATCAACACTCAACCACTGAGCCACACCGGCCTGGTGGCTTCTAGAATTTTGAGAAAATTAATTTCTGCTGTTTACGCCGCCCAGTTGTGCTATCTGTTACAGCAGCCCTAGCCAACTGATACGGCCTCTCAGGCTTGTGGCTCCCCGTTGTCCGAGCCCCGAGCTACAGGGCTGTGGCCACCTGTGTCCCAGTCCTCTCCCACCAGACCAGGATGCAAAGTGAGGTCTGACTCATCCCTGGCATCACCCCACTCCGAAGAGCAGACAATAACTGCTGGCTGCTGTCCCTCCCTGCAGTCTGTCTCTTACTAGTCCCTGCCTCTGTCCTCCTGTCACTCTGCCATTTACCCAGACTTCCCGAGACCTCGTCAGGAGCTGGTCCCTCTGCCTGGAACACTGTCTACCTGGCGGCCTCTTCCTCATCCCTCAGGACCCAGCACAGGATCCATCCTCTATGAAGTCGCCACTCCCGATGCCCCAGAGACTCTCCCGGCCCCCTCCGTCCTGACCCAGCATCTCCTTCACCATGTCCTGGAGGCTATAGCCATGTGGGCCCCAGTATGTCTCCCCCCATCAGACTAGGATCCCCTCAAGGACAGTTCTGTCCCCGTCCCCCCCAGGCAGATCGCAACACCCAGGCATTCCGCAAAGTAGGCTTGTCACCTTAGGGGTAACCTTCGCCTGCTCAAAAATTTATCTCACGTTAGCAGTGAGGATTGGGGCATCACCCCAAATCGTTATTTTGAGGGGTGAGCAGGTAGGTCTGTCTTATCTTGGGGTGCCCGGCACTGCCCAGCACAGGAAATGTGGGTCCCCTACACAAAAGTGGCCCCAAGCCTTGCTCTCCCCACTCTAGGCCTTTGCCTCTGCTCTTCTCGCACCCGGGCCACCCTTTCCTTCTCCGGCACCAACTCCTGCTCCCCTTGAAGGCCCCGCTCCCACGCCACCTCCTCTGTGAGGTCCTCCCTGACTCCCTCTCCTCTGGGTGCCCCTGCCCCGAACATACCCTGACGGCTGGGGCGGTGACTCCTGGCCCCAGCCTGTGGACACGGCTGCCGCCATCGCTGCTCAGGCTGGGGCTGAGTCTTTGGGAGGAACACATCCATGAAAGAACCTCGGAGGGACCAGGACCCGATCCCTGCTGTCGCCTGGACCAAGCAGTCTAACCTTACACCGTCAGGTCGCCCCCTCCGCAGGGATAGTGGCTGAAGGGGCAAACGAGGTTTGAGGGGACATTTCCACTGCTCTGATTCCTTCGTTCTCCCTAACCCCAACCCCCCTCCTACCCCCCCACCCCTGCCCGCCACACACACACACACACACACACACACACACACAATTGCACGGCGGCTGGGCCGATGGCAGAATGGCCGGTGCTGCCTTCACCCAGGCCTCGATGACTCTTCTCCTCAAAGGACGAATACTGGCTCCATTTCAAACAGGAACCCAAAGCCCAACGAGGGCCCCATGGACAAGGGCGGGCACCCACAGGCCAGCCCATCGAGAGGCCACTGAGCTGCCCACCCGCAGGCATCCTGCCCCTGGGCCCAGGCAGGGCTGCCCCGACCCTCTCTCGTGGCTACAGAAATACTGATGTTATTCCCCCACCAGGCAAGATGTCACTAGGACAGGGTGCAACCTGAGCATCAGAGTTTTAAAAAAATATATATGTTTATTGATTCCAGAGAGGAAGGGAGAGGGAGAGAGAGATGGAAACATCCATGATGAGAGGGAATCACTGATCGGCCGCCTCCTGCACACCCCACACTGGGGATGGAGCCCACAACCCCAGGGATGGGCCCTGACCGGGAATCGAACCGTGACCTCCTGGTTCACAGGTCGACGCTGAGTCACGCCGGCCAGTATCAGATTTTCAAAAGGCGCCCTCCCTGGGATTCTCATGTGCTCCTGCTGTCCCGCTCAAAGCAGCATTTGCACAGAAAGTTCGGCTGTTACTTACGGCCACCCTGCCCTCCTCCCCTCCCAGGCAGCGTGTGACTTTTTAGCTGAAAGGGCAGGGAAAGCGGTACAGACCCCGTGGGCCCCTGGATTCCCACCATCCTGAGTCAGACCCACCCAGAGTGCCCACACCCTCTGGCCTCGCCCCAGGCGCCGGCCCCAGGCCTGGAACTCGGGCTGCCCTCTGCTCCTCACCCCTCCCTTGCCCCTCCCACCCGACTTTCACTTCTCCTCTGCATTTCCCCCAGCCAGTTTTAGCAGACTTGGGTCAGCTTCTCGTTAGCACTTACCGAAAACGGGGCTAAATATAGAGGGCCCGAGGGCTGCCCCTCACCCCTCCCGGCCCGCTTGGCCAGTCCCCTGGGTCCCCTGCCTCCTCAGCCCGCTTCAATCAAGGCTTGGCCTGGGAGCCCCTCTGAGCTGGGTCTGCGCTGCCGGGAACCTCTGCGGGCCCAGCTGGCCCAGTCCCAGCCTCCTCAGGAACCACACCTCACACCCCCACAGCCCACAGCTGTCCCCGGGCAGCCTCAGGGGAGTGAACACTCTGAGCTGTCAGGAGGGAGGGATGGAGGTACGGGCAGACACAACAAGAGCTGTGGCCGTACAGCTGTGCTGACAACAGGTAAGAGCTGCCACAGCGCACCCACACCCCAGGCAGGGTCCCAGACACACACAGGTGTGCACAGACCCCACACAGGAATGTGTACAGATGAAGACAGAGGCCCAGCCGAAACCGGTTTGGCTCAGTGGATGAAGCGTCAGCCTGCGGACTGAAGGGTCCTGGGTTCGATTCCCGTCAAGGACATGTACCTTGGTTGCGGGCACATCCCCAGTGAGGGGTGTGCAGGAGGCTGCTGATTGATGTTTCTCTCACATCGATCTTTCTAACTCTCTCTCTCCCTTCCTCTCTTTAAAATATCAACAAAAAAAATATATTAAAAAAAATAAAATAAAGGCCTAACATGGGGATAAAAAAAAAAAAAAAAAAAAAAAAGACAGGCCCCGACACAATGACACTGGCAGACATGCAAAACACACCAGACGTGAGTGTGCACACCTGCACTTGCTTATACACACACAGCCCCCGAGTCACACTGAGAGAGCCATTGGCACAGAAGGTTTGGTGGGTTGTTTATGGCCATTCCACACTTACACATCCAGAGTCACTTAAGTACAGACAGATACAGATGTGCACATACACACCCAGACTCACTCACAGACACACACACACACACACACTCACATCCACATCACTCAGACACACAGACACACACTCACATCCAGGTCACTCAGATAGACATGCGCATGCTCACCATCCAGAGTCACTCAGACAGAAACTCTCTCTCTCACACACACACACACACACACACACACACACACACATCGATGTTCATACAGCTCACACCCCAGAGTCACTCACAGACAAATATACAGATAGATACAGATGTGCATACACTCACACACCCAGTCACTAAGACAGATGTGCATCCACAGATACACCCAGCTCACTAAGCTAGACACACACACACAGAGACGTGCACACACTCACACACCCAGAGCCTCCTCAGCCTGGGAAATGGCCAGGGTAGACCTGAACCCGGTCCCCGGATGTGCAGCCCAAGACCAGGCAGCAGAGTGATCTGCCCCAGGTCACACAACGCATTCATTCCTGTTACGTTGAGGGGGGTGGGGGGAAGGCGGGGAGGGGAACCAGGGCGGGCCAGTTCAGTGAGAAACCCAAGTAAAGGGTCTAACCCCGTGCCTGGCACATATAAGACCCACATTCAACCTCATTGAGGGATTGGTCAGCCTGTGGGTGCAGATGCCCTGGACGTCTGTCTCCACCGTGGATGCGAACATACATACACGACTGCACATATGATCATTTCGATAAATAATCACGTGATCCCGAAACGTGTCTTCCTTCCATCTTAATCCCCTCCCCACCTTTTTTGCCGTACTGACAGCCACTCACCCTTCACATGTCAGCCCAGACATCCCCTCCTCTGGGGAGCCTTCCCTGACACCCCACAGGCCGACCTGGGCAAGTCTTCTGGGCTCCCACAGTCCCCTGTGCCTCGGCCTCCCAGCCCGGACCCCCCTCCCTGTGCCTGCTCCACTCCCCGGTGACAGATCTGTCTCTCCCCCTGGACTGGGGACGCCAGCAGACAGAACGGAAGCTGCCTCTCAGCTGTGTTTCCAACACCCGGCACAGAACTGCCGAGTGAATGGGTGTTGGTGAAGGATCCCACACACCGAGGCACGCAGGACGGCGAGCTCCAAAGCAAGGCTCATCCCCACAGACACCCAGAGATGTGGCGGGTACCCACAGTCATGCCTGCATGGTCACAAATAAAGCAGTCACGGAGTATCGGCGCTTGCCGTGTTCCGGGCACTGTATTGGGCACCGGCGTATGGCATATTACCTCCCTTAACTCTGCCATCAGCACTGGCATCATGCAGAGAGAACTATCGTCATGCAGAGAAGGACACATTACACCAAACGAGGCAACAAACCCAACCCTCTTGAGCAGTACCTGGCGATCAACGTGCACTCAGTCAACTTACATGATGGAGGGAGGTGGGGGGTACGGGAGCAGTTACTAAGCACACGAACATATCCTAAAATTTCAGCGGTGGTAAGTGCCATGAAGAAAAAAACAAAGCGGAGCAAGGGGGCTGAGAATGGCGGGATGGGCCTCCAGGAGGAGGTGGCAGCGAAGGCCAATGCAGTGAAGACGTGAGCCCAGAGATCACTGCCAAGGCCACCCCTACCTACCGCACACACCACAGCCCGCACTCTCCGCACACGCAGACACGACCATCACACCCAGGAGACGGGCGCTACCCCTCACAGACGCGCTTACGCTAAAGCCCAGCAACTCCATCAGCCTCCCCTCCCACCTGCAGCCCTGACTCCTGCCACCCACCACCCCCTGGTCCTCCCCAGAAGCGCCCACTACCAACCCGGCTGTGTCCCTCCCCGGGAGCCTTTGGGACAGGGCGGCGGAGATGGGGAGGAGAGGTGGGAAGCCCCCAGGTGCCTGGTGCGGGAGGGGAGAAGCAGAAGGAGTTGGAGGGGGGACCAGGGTGGGAAGGGGAAGCTGCGGAGGTCCAGAGCGAAAGCAGGCGGCTGAGGAGGAAAGGCAGGGCAGGCCCAGCCCTGCGGAGCCGCCCGGAGCTGCCGCCGGGCGCAGCCCTTACCTGGAGCCCCCATGCTGGAGAGAACGCGCTGCCCGCCCCGCGGGGCTGGGGAACAACTGTGTCACCTCCCGCCTCTCCGGGGGCCAAGTCCTCTCTGCCTGCCGGAAGTCACCCCGGGAGGAAACCGCAGGGTCCGCCTCCTTCGGAAGGGAAAATACCCCGGTGGAAGGCCCACCCCTGCAGGCAGTGACCCCAGATCGAGCCTGTAGGGGAAGTGGGGGTCTGGGGCGGCATGGGCAGGCCGGGGGAGCTGGCTCCCCGCGGTGCCCCAGGAGGTGCCTGCCCCAGCCCCAGCCCCTGTGCCTGCAGGGGCATCTGGAGGAGGCGTGTGGGCCTGGGAGGGAAGGCGGGCCCATGACAACACTGAAAAAAGGGCTGGAAGTTTTATTGGGGCGGGGGGGGGGGGCGGGGGGGAAGGCTTTCCCAAAGCCAGGCCCTGCAGTTCCCGCCGGACAAGTGTCCTCTCCTGCGCAATCACTATCGGCCCCTTTTACAGAAGAGAAGACTGAGGACCAGGGCGCTGGGGGGCTTCACGGGAGCGCAGAGCAGGAAAGCGCGGCGGGAGGAGGCGTTCGCGGTGGGTTTCCAGCCGGC